AATAGTAAGGGATGCCTGCTCAGAAAAGAGTGGAAGAGAAGCAGTTCTTCTCTCAACTTTCAGGCATGTATAACTTAGAGTCTTCATGAGCCAGGATGGTGTCTTTGTACAAAGCAATCTAATTCTTTTGTGCGTTAATCTTTTTTTGTTTGTTTGTTTGTTTGCTTGTTTGTTTTTTGAACTCATCTAGAGTTTTGGCTAACTTCTTGTTCTTTAGGTTTATGTATATCTTCCACTCTTATCAAAATCTATATTGATATCCTTTATCTCTCTAACATGTTACCATTCTGGTTTTCTCTTTCAGTCTCTTCTAATGTGCTTTCAGAATTTCTCAGAGATGTGCAGTTCCATCCTTTCTTGAGGATTCAGAAGAAAACTGTGACTAATGGGAGATTATGTAGCAAATTTTGAGACCCAATAACTTACCTTTATTGGATCTATCTCTAATTATCTCAGTGCCCATTCTGTGTCTGCATTATTAATTAATAATTAAATATCTGCTCRAAATATTTGCATTGCATATTCCTCTGCTCTCATTACCTTTTCCCTTTCTTTGGTCTCCCTCATATTTTGCCATCTCAGCGTTCTTGCTCTTCTGGTACCCATCCCAAGGGTAGGGTAGAATGACTTCAAAAGAGATGTTGATAAATAATACCAGATTTGAGCTGTGTAAACAGTGTTGATCTTTGGGCTGTTCTTTCCTCTTTTCAGTCTTCTAACTAAGCAAGCAGAGAAGAAAAAACTCTGTGCTCAGTCTCCTCAGGCTGTCCATGTCCTACTGAAAGCTTTTCTCCAAAGGTTACTCAGGAGAGAGAGAGACGCAAAGCTTCATCTGTAAATAAGCACTAGGAAAAACAAGAAGAGAAGCATCAGAGGGTGCTTATCAAGGGTGAATAACAGAATAGATATCAAGAAAGATGGATAATGTCTTATGCCACAAAAAATCCCCTGGTGCCTTATAAATAATTTGACTGTGGCAACAAAGAATAACCAGCAAATGCTGCGGATTCATCTCAGAAAAGGCTCCAATGCTGACTCACTTGCAGAAAGTCTTAAATGAGGGATGCCTCTGTTTCACTGAAATACATGACAGCATTGTTTTACAGCATTTAATGTGGCCAAATATTCTGTCATTGAGCCTTCTACTCAGTTTGGGAGTCTCAGCAAATTAGAAACAGTACATTTATCATCCTATGTCACCTGCATAATGAAGCTGGTGATATAAATTGGTAATAGCCATGTCTGGTGGTCTGGATAAGGAAGCCACAATAATTCTTAATAATTATCTTTGATAAGGCAAGTGAGATTTATAGTTCTTATCCCTCCATTTTCTGRGTTTATTTTATGGGGTGACTGATCTTATTGTAAACAAAGTTTTTGCACATATTTCCAGTTTCATTTTTRTTCTATTTTTAAGGAAAATAGAGGAAGCCATGACTTGAATCRTTGCCTCAAAGGATTGAATAATAAACGGTTATGAGCGAGGAAGTCAAAAGGGCTAGCAGTATTAGCTTGACTTCACAGACAGCAAGTGGAAAGCAATGGATGTGTATTTTTAAGTCTTTCTTGAGAGAGAAAAAAAAAAAAAGTTGTCAACATTTATTATCAATGTAACTGAATCTCTATCACCAGAGAGAGAGAAGGAAAAATGAGGTTATTAGATTCAGTAAGGATGTAATCAAAAAGCCACTGAAACAAAGAGGAGTCTCATGTGGCTTTTGCAACTCGRTGCTTAAACCAGGACCCTCCATGTTAGAATCCATCAGACAATTTTTTTCATCACTCATAAGCAGTATCTGGGGATCTGGGCACATGGTCCTGTCAGAATAAAAGAAAATGGCAAATGCAGAAATCCATTATTCTTGCTCTTCTTTTTTTCTTTCCTTTTCTCTCTCACCACTTTTTTTCCTTTTGTTTTCTATTGTTACTGCAGGTTTTGGTTTCTTGTCTTGTGTGTGGTTCCGAAATGACCATACATTTTAAACTCTCTTTTTTTTTTAAAGCTATTAAAAAAAAAAAAAAAAAAAAAAAAAAAGCTAGAATCCATTAAAAATCCCCATTTATATTCAGGACATTTCAGCACTGAGCATCATGAAGGGAAGAGATCAATAATCGCATTGTAAGACCCAAGTTCTCGCTGTGACAGGCTAAAGTAAAACAACTCAACTCTAATACTGGACTCACTTCTCCCTCATTTGTCCTTCAAAAGTGGTTTGCCACCTTCTTTTGTTTCACCTAACTATCCTATGGGCCCACCATTTTCCCTTTTCAGCTCTSATAACCTTGTTTCACTTCTGTGCAATTTATTCATGTATTTGTCTTTCTCCTCCCTGATTTATCTTCTATGAATGACTACTAGGAGTTCTCATGTTCACAGACTAATCTTTGTATATCCTTTATTTTAACGTCCAAATGCCGCTTTCACTCATCTCTGCTACAGGCTTGCTCCGGTATTTTGTAGCAGACCTATATAGTCARGAGGGAAAGCATCTTTTAAACCAGCTAATGTATATAATTGCAGAAAAGATGATGGAAGATCTTTGGACATGTATTGTGAACTGACAGTATGACAAAATAAGCTATCACTTCCTAAGATAAAACTGTAAAGATGCCAGTCAGGGGGTCTCCTTTATTTTCTTTGTTTTTCTATGATGCTTTCACAACACAAGCAATTTCTTAGCTAAGTTTTATCATAATTAACACAAGTCCCTCTCCCATCCTGCTCTGCCTTTCACCTATCTCCGGGCTTTAGCATCATTTCCAGGTTTCTACGGCTGTCTAAAAATAATTGAAGCACATTTTATTTTTGTTGTCATTGTTCTTATTCTAAAAGCTAATTAACTTCCTCCAAAATTAGTTCTTGGAATTACTGGGGCCTCTTCCAAGAACAAAGCGCATGCCAACAGTATGTCCTATTATTAATGCTCCAAAATGGGAGAACTGGAAGGGGCAGRCTCTTAGCCAAGACCCAGAGTGGGCTGTGCACAAAGAGGCCGTGCTGTGAGAGGATGGAGGGAGAGCGAAGCATGGAATGTAGAACTGATGCCAAAAATCAATGAATGCAGCAAAAGGTCTAACTGGCCAAAGGGACATGCCCTTCTGTGTGGCCATGTACCAATGGCCATGGCCATTCAAGGAGAAGGAATGCGAGGATGAGCACATCTAATGCTTGATTCACTGCTGGTTTTGTGTCATGTTGAATCTGGGAGCCACAGAGTTTCTGCTGTGTGTCTCAAAACTATGTTGAAAAATCTCATGAAAAAAAAAAATCTGCAGGGGAAAAGCATGGGCAGGAGAATTTCTGGCTATCAGTCCCTGCAATGAAAGCTTGTCTTAGATATAGTACCAAATTATTCTAAGATAGTATCAAAATCTTCTAATCTACAACCTTGTTTGTTACTAGGCCTCATTTTTYAATTTTTCTGCTCTTCCACTGTTATTGTACAGACATAAAATAAGCCTTGAATACTGCTGTATGAATATAAATGTCCAGGTTTTGAAGCACATAATGGCTCTCACTTATAGGTGTGCAAATTAATAATAGGCAAAAAATACTATGTTAAAACCTGGAGCATGGTGGAAGCAGTCAACAGACTCAGGCCAGGGCTGAGGCACTGAATGGCAGCACTCTCAAAAAAAATAACCAGCAGATTTCATAGTCTTTTCCTGAAAGCAGGTGACCTAGGAGATGCAGGGGGAAAACTGGGRCACAGTTTGAGAATTTGCAAGCTTCTTAGAGATAAAACTGTCAACGTTTTCTCTGTAACAAAGACTATCTACAATTTTCAGCATAGACCAAATCCTGGAGACATTAGCAAAGATGTGAATAATTTTTCCCCCGTTGTTTGTTTTCTCCATTTCACTTAGGCAGTTTTGGGTTGGCTTAAAGGGTAGGAGCCAAAATGCTGGTATGGGAAAGAGCTGTAATGCTGTTTGAACACTATATGTCGAAGTGCCTTTGAAATAGCATGAGAGGGAATAAAAATGTTCTCCTGAGATTTTYGAACTAGGTTTTTTCTTCCAACACAAAAGTAAGTGGAATCCCCATCTGGACTTCCCTTGACCTGTTTTCCAGTTGAGCACTGATACTTTCAGGTTTTATTTATGTCTCTCTTTCCAGGATCTTTCAAACGTGACATTGGATCATAATCTACAAAAGACRTAAAAACCTAAATGCTTCAAATATTATCAAGACTTATAGTAATATTAGGAGGTAGCCAGAATTTCATACTGTTCTTATAACTTTCTTGAACATCCAAAGGCAGAGAATTGCATTTTGCAAATAATTACCAGAGTGTACCAGGGTGAAATTTCTGTCAGTAAAAATAAGGATTTCATTTTTTTCCTTGTACTGAAATGGGAAATTCTCTTGCTCTGAGCAAACTGAACATATGTTTATCCCATGTGAAAATCTGCCATTAGCGCCCACAAGCTTCTAGTTTACACAACATCTATTTTCTTTTGCAGTGGGTAATGAAAGAAGTGTCACAGCCACCCGGTCTCTTTTATAATCTGGCAGACTGTTATTTCAGGTCCGTGGGGCAAAGGACACGGCATCTATTCCTTTCGACAGAATCCTGATGTTGTACACAAAAATTAAGCTAAATTCTATATTTTTAAAGATCTGCTTAAATTTCCTTCAAAAAGACAAAAATAAAGCAGAARTGAARAGATTTACATATATATATATATATAYAYAYWYWTTTTTTTTTTCCACCCTGTGGATTCAATGATGTGTGATGAGAAGAAGAAAATCTTTTTTTGGGTTTTGCAGCAATGTTTAGGCCAACACTGTGAGTTGTTTTCCTTGTTTTTAATAGTCCAAACTGCCTTTAGTTGAAGTTAAATCTCTTGCAAGCCACGCAAGTGAAAATTAACTTCTTGTCCTTCCTTTTTCGCAAAGCTGTCAGAAACATGTCAGTTCTCTCCCTTGCTTTTTTCTGTATTTTTTTTCCTGAAAACATTGTACATGTCCCTGCTCAGTGTCCTTCTCATTTCAGAGGTAGAAGAATGCACAGCTGATTCACAGCTTCGCTTGCCTGCGCCAGCACAAGGGGACAGGACTTTGCACAGAATTCACAGCACTCGGAGCTCTCACCCCAGGAAGATCCTCCATCATTTCAAGACTGGGGACAGTAGCACAGTATTTGATGAGGGGATCAGGAAACTGGTAGCAGTACATGCACTGGTGCCACTGCAGTGCACACTGTGAAGTCTTCTAATATATAAGCATTTGTTTGTTTTTATAAAGCTCCTTCCTACACAGCAGCACACAGTCCTTCAGGTTTTTCACTCAGCAGTCAATGGTAGGCCAAGCAAAAGAAAGAATAACTAGAAGCTCTGTGGCAAGGGCACTGATTGCTTTATAGATGAGGTGATTAGATGCAGCTATTTAGATAGGTGGGTTAAAGATGCCTTGCCTAAAGGTGTTCTTAGCACTAAAGAACACTTTCCATAAAGTGGCCAGCCTGGGATCATTGAACAGCCTATGAAACCCAAGGGAGCACTGTTGAAATCCTAYGTGCAATGCTTGGGAGGTGATAAGTCAACTCTGTTCTTATACTGACGACTTTTGTGCAAGAAACGACGGTCTTAGAAATCAAACTTTTCTACTGCATGTTTCCAGTTTTGAGTCCTGTTATTTTATCATAGTGGATGCTTTAAATGTATCATGTGGAGAGTCATAATCATAAGATTTTGTGAGACCTTTAGATTTTACATAAAACAGACAGAGAGCATTTCTCGTCCTCATGAATTAGAAAGATGGCAAAAAAAGGAGGAATCCAGTCTAATTATCCAAAAATGAAATGAAAGTAGGTTCTGAGGGACATTTAGAGATGCTTTCCAGAGAATAACCTAAAACTGAATAGAACAAAGGTCTGAGGGAAAAATCAAAGAAAACTAAGCAAACTTTTCCAGAATTCAAGAAGAATAGTTGGGATTGAAATTTGGCTAAAATTTCTGGTTTGTTTTGAATGTTGTTCCATGTGACTCAGCAGCATTTTGAGCATAAAGATTTTAGACTTGACAGAAATATGTAACTGGAAGGAGAGGATGTGAAAAAAAGTTGTTTTTACTTTATTTTTTTTTCCCCCATCAAGTTCCTTATTTTGATCTTGAAAACTCCACTATTCCTTTTAGAGAYGCATGTTCAGAGGGGAAGAGCAATCCCTCTCCTGCGTGTATTTTGCATTGTTCCTACCTGCTAATTATGTGAAGGCATCTTTGGAGAGAGCCTGATRGACACATCCACGATACCTACCGGAGAGTATTTCAACAGACCCTTTTCCCCCTCCACATTACACAAACATCCCTCTCTCTCACAGTATCTTCGCAGCCACATATCAAAGACATCTAGGAGAYGGAGAAGGAAGACACTGCAGACTCCATGCTGTCACCCTACTGCTGAGTAGTTCCAGGCAGTTTGGAGCCTCCTCCTGGTTCCTCGCCGTCTCCCCCACACCTCCTTTCCCAGCTGCACATTCTGTCTCCTTAAGAAGTCACGCTGGCTGCTCGAAACCTAAATAGCACATTATGTTAGATTAATTGGCTAAGAAAACATCCACAGAATGAGGGGAGGGGGGAAGAGGAAGGCTTGCTTGTCAGAAATGTCATCTTATCATACTGAGAATCATAAAAAAGAGAGAAGAAAGATCCGTGTTATAAATGAAAACAAAATGCTGCCTGGAACTGATTGACAGTAACTTAGAAGAGGGAAGAGAAGAGAGGCCAGGGAAAGAAGGGGAGAGAAAGACATAAAGGTCCATCCCGATGGCTGCCAGCAGAGCAAGCAAGGCTCCAAGGAGAGCTTCTATTCCAGTGGAGCAGCCCTCCTCTGTCACCAGCATGCCCAGTGAGGGGCCAAGTGGGGTCCTCAGGGTGCCTCCTCCCATGGGAGGGAGTGCATGAAAAAGCAGGAATGAAGGATCCTCTGGCAGTTCAAGTCCAAAAGCTTGTCCTTGATTCCAATGACCATCTTTCGACATCTCTTTGCACCTTGAGAAAATATCAGTATAATTATTTGCTGTGATTTACTGCATTATTTGCAGTGATCATATCCTAACTAGTAGGATCACCTGCTACTTCTCATGGTTACCATAGCAGGACCCATGTAAACTCCCCCCTTGCCTTTGCTCTTCTCTTATAAGCGCTGTCAGAAGAGCTCTGTGCTCTCTGAAGTTGGCTTAAAGACTTCTATTTCCCACCTCTCAGCCCCTGCTCTCACTCACTAGAATTATTTAATGGGCTCCTTGCTGACTCCAGCTAACTTGGAGTTCAGTTTCCTGCTTCTCACTAGAGGTTTCACAGCCCAACATGTTCCTGCTGTTCTGAAGTCTCTGTATATTTTTTTTCTCTGTTAAACGCTGTCCATCACTGGGTTCCCTGTGAACTGGGACCTCCTCCGTGTTTCCAATTTGGTCGATCTTTATTCCTCCTTTGTTTTTTCCCCATACCATTTTCTTTCTAGTGTCCACAAGAAGTGTATAGGGCTACTGATTTAATAGGTACCTTTACGTATTAATTCTGTACCTTTAGGTACAGAACTAATTTGGTAATCTCACTGCAAGAACTATTTTGGTTACTGTTTTTCAAGAGAGAATCAAACACCCATAATAACAAAAACCTAAGTTTTCCTACATGGCAATTTTGGGCTCTTTGTACTGCTTTCTGCGCCAAAACTATACAGAGAGATGTTGTTTCATCCATTCTCACTGACCCTGGCAGACATGAAGCTGCTATGCAATAACTAAGAATATTTTTATATGTAAACTATTTTTTTCAAGAAGCCTACATAGCCCACATTCAGCCTGCCAAAAAATATCTTTATTTCATGCCAAATATTTCATGATGAAATTCAACAGATGATTCAAAATCACTTCCTTCACTCAGCTTTGCAACTGATTTTCCTTCCTACATAAGGGCCAGGTCCTGGCTTCATAGGTAATAATATCTGGGAATGTCAAGGAACAGGATCTAGATATTACAAAAACATCAAAAAGAAACAAGTGTGTTACTGCCAGAAAGGCAGAGCAGATAGACTGATTGCTTGGAGAGAGTGCTGAATAGGTGACTCTGGAGGTTCTCAAGATTAGGTTAAACAAATACCTTATCACTTCACTTTGGCTAGCCCTCTCTAGCAAGAGTAACTAGCAGGTTATTGGCCTTGTGAGGTTCCTCCCACTCCTGCTTTCTAAAGCTCTGAGACAAATAAAGTACTAAACCAGAAGAAGGAGATATGAATTAACTAGCTTCTACCTTGTATGTGAGATAAAGTTCAATTTCCTCTCCCCCTGAGGGGATCTGGCTTTACCTAGCAGGTAAATACCTGCAGGTGTGAGGCTTCCTCCTGTCCTTCCTTGCTCTCATCTTCTGCACTGAGACATTGGCATCCATGGTGTCTCGGTGGATGAGACACACCATCCACAGCTCCCAACATGTGGCATGTCTTGGTGTGATGCAGAATCGCCTCCTTCACTGAGCTTTGCCAATGCTGCTGCTTGCCAAGTTGCAGGATGCCTCTTTGTTCTGTCACATCACTGTACCATCTCGCAAGGAGATTTGTTGTTGCAAAAAAAAGAGAAATAAGCAAATGGTGTTTGCAAACCTGGACAGCATATTAAAGCATCTTTGGAAGGGATTTCTCCCTGTGCTGTTTGTTGACCATTTTTTTTTTCTTCTATTGGAGCATGCAAGACCCAAGTACGTCCAGTGCTATTTCCCTATGCTAAGTACCACCTGCCAAGATAATAAAGAACATCCATCAGTCACTTCTATACGGCTTTCAGGAAGAAATGCTAGCAAACCCCCACACTGCTTCCCTTGCTGCATTCCCCTCTCATCAGGACTGCAGTGTGACTCGGATCAGGAGCAACACAGAAAATCCATCTATCTCAATAGTACTTCAAATCTAAAACTTAATCTACAAATAAGTGACTTACCCACAGCACCTCCACAGTAATTGGGCTCAATTTGAGATCACTTGCAGTAGCAACACCTGAAGGAAAGGGCAGTAGCTATAAATAGATGAAGATAGAAGGTATTATTAGAAAAACAAAGGTAGATTAAGTATAGAGGAGGAAAAAAATACCAGCCTAGCCACTCCAATATAAACAAAATAGAGTAAATTTAGAGCTGGCTGTAGGCAGAGCTTTGAATGAGTGAGGAGTGCATTGCTGCCTGCTGAGCAAAGGCAATTCTGCCCCCACACTGACGCACGGATTTTGATTCATTCCAGTCCAAACAGATACTACAGCTGCAGTTTGGGGCTGGTAGCTTGGAAGAAAAGCAAAACAGAGGACTAAGCCAGACCGAAGAACACTACACCCACTGGGTAACACAGATACAACTGCTGGAGGAAGTGCAGCCAAAATGTGCCTTTTAAGAGACATGCAGCTTCTGAATGGTTTAGTCACAGCTTCCATGACAGAGAGGTGTGATGTGAAGCTGCTGTGAGGAGCAAGGCAGTCATCACTTTTCCCTGTTTCTGAGATTGGACGGGAAGTGATAGGGTTGTTAGGAACTGGGGAGGCTCCAGCACTGGGAATCTGCACATTGGATAAATGTCTGTTGGAGTGACTTATATGGGGTCTATCCTACCTTGGTCATTGCCMAGGTGCCCTTTCTAAGATGCCCTATGTTGTTTATGTTGTATGAAGATGTGCTGAGGCAGATGTTGCCAGACACTCTGGATCCTTCCATACCGAAGGCAGAGAGGCAGGATGGCCTCCATAGCCTATAAGAGGCTAATGCAGCTGTAGGTGAGCACCACTTCACCATGAACCCCCAGAGGTTGCTGCCAGCTCCTGCGTAGAGCCTTGGAGCCTCCCATCGCTGCAGCTCCTTGAGGTACAGGGCATGTGTCACCCGTCTTGTGCCCATGCAGCATTAGCAGATGTGGTTAGCAAAACCAGAACATCCCCTTTGCTGGAGTTGTTCTGTTCCTGGTTAAAGTGCCACCTCAAATCTGTTCGGAATATCACACACAGAGAAAGTCTGTTGCTCGATAGATTTATTTATTTATAWATAGAATGGAAATAATATAATGGAAATAGAAACCCTAATCATCAATGCCACTGACTGCAGGGTTTTTTTCAATTGAAAATAAAATTTTACTCAAAAAATATTTTTGATATATCAGAAGATTTCCACTGTGAAGAACAGAGAAAAGGGAATAAATGTTAAAATGTAGAAAAAATGGGTATGGGGCAAGGAAGAGAGGAAAATGCATTCTGTGATTTCAAGATTTCTCTCTTACCAGAAAAGGAGAAGAGTAGTGTTGCCCAGCACTTTGAAATTTTGCCTATCAATTAAAGTGAAACATTTTGTATAAAATAAAAAATTATCTTAAAAAAAAAAATTGGGCAACAGCTTGTACCATATGGGTCACTTGCTAAAAATATAGATCTTAAAGGTGAGCTTTCTGTTCTATTTTATACACAGGATCAACCAATCACAGCAAATGTTAATCATAAAGTACTCAGTCTCATGGAACCCAGAAAGTTCGGTACTMCATGAAGCAAATGGAAGAAAATTTCAAGTTCGTTGGTAACAAAATTTTTATTTTTGACCYTAGTTTTTCCTACATGATCATTGTTCCTCATTATCTCATCATTATCCTCATTATCTTGACCTTTAAAAATCTCTAGGGAGCACAGAGAAAGGAGGAGGGACAGCTGACATTCCTAACATAGTTATGTTAGGAAACATGTTTCCTATGTTTCCTTCCTTCACCCATTTGTGCCTCTGTTTGTAAATAATTTTAAATAATTTTACAAGACACTCATGTAAAGCTGTCGTATTAAAAGGTCTCCGAAGTATTTACTCAGCCTGCACTGATCAGGGCTGTGCTGGTGTCTGTGGTATGTATGCACCTGCAAGGCCTGGAGGGCAGAGATGATAAATATGACAGTGTCTTCTTYGGTACCACGAGCTCAGCTGGGTAGTTTATCTCACAACAAGAGAGGTGACAGCTTTAGGAATGTATATTTATTCCTGTATTAAGCTGGGAATCCCAACATGAATAGGGTCAAAGTCCAGATTCAAGGAAATACAGCAGATGAGTTGTTGTCCTTCAGGCATTTGGGATAAGTTTTCCGTACATGAAAATAGCTGTGTTTGAAAATGAAAGACTTGTTTTAACCATGTCCTCTCAGGCACCTTATGGACACCCTTCATGTGAGTGTAGATGTGCACTTTCATCACTTATACTTTTTACGTAAATTCTAAAATGTTTCTGAGATATTTCATCTGAAAATGAGATAGCTAGGAGAAGATTTTTGGCCTTGCTGGCAGATGTTACAGTGAGGTATTCTGCAGTCTTGACCACCAGTACTTGGGATAGGGTAAAAGCATTTTAAAAGTTGGGCTTTTTTTTTTTCTTATTTTGTCTTGTTGGAAGGTCTAAACATTACAGTCACACTGTGCTCCTCTGAGACTGTGGCTAAGTGTAAAAGCACAGCTGAGGTCAGCCTTTTGCTCCATCTCATCCTGCTATGCGGGGAAAGGTAAACTCACTGCATTTAGAAATAGCTCGGAAGGGAGCACTGGAAAGTGTTCAAAAGTGCCAGAGGGAAAAGCACAGCTTGTCTGGTGAAGAGCACCAAGTTGCAGGGAAAGAGCTATTTACTGAACTCCCTTTGATACAATTCCAAATGCTTATGTTAAGGAAATAAACACATATACCACGTGCCCCTCACTTCCTACCATGTGTTAACTGCTTGTGTCACCCATCTTTTTAATTCATACAAGGTTTCTGATCTCTTTGAGCTCTATACACCCCACCACGTCCACCTGATCTGCATTGCATCCATYCGGGCTAAACATGCTTGTTACATAGTTCATGCATATGACAATCTCATCCTAAATTCCAGTCACACTAGAAGTTTTCCAGTCTGACTTAAACTATAGGATCACTCCTTCTTTCAAAAGAAAAATGGAAAGAAGATTGTTCTGAAAGTGGCTTTATCTAGTCAAGCCTGTTTGAGATCTGGTTGCCCAAACTGACTTGCACACAGATTCACTTCACTACAAAATACTCCTTGCCCAAGTTTCAGCCTCATGGGAAGTTATTTTTCTGTTCCACTTAGGCTTGGGATGAAAATGCTAATGACCTGTCCCTATCCCAGACCTGATTTWTTTGTAGCGTTGAGGTAGGCATATCTGTTCTGTACAATAAAGAAATATGAATTAAGAATTGCACAATGAATGGAAAACTTGGCCATTAGATGCTGTGAGGTGCATAGAATGAGTGTGTGAGATGCCAGATTCACTTCAGGAGAAAACAGGATACTAAATGATTATACAAAATTATTATGCCTACTCCCTGCCAAGACAATAAATCTGGTCCTGAAAATGGATGTGAAAATCTACAAGTCCAGACTCAAAATCTGGTCAGACATTCTCTCAACAGAGCAAGGAGCATCTTTTCTTCAACCTAATGTATCAAGAAATGAAGCTTGTGCTAGTAGGTAGAATAATGAAAGCTGGAATAAAAAAAAAAAAAAAAATCTGGAAGCTACCTGGTCCATGTTAGAGGATATAGGCCAATAGACAAGTTGTTTTGTATTTATCCATGGGTACAAACTCACACAAGCTATTACCACAGGGTGATGCAGCTGGCATGCTCCAAGATCACTTAATTTACTTCATTTAATTTACTGACACAAAATATGGGATCTCCAGTGCTCTCTTCATCATACCCAAGATACAGTGAAATCTAAACAAGGAGACAAAAATAGTGCAGAGCTTCTTGCTTTTGGTTTGTCCCTATCGGACTCATAATCTGAAGCTTAAACCGATGTTGGTCCAGTCTTCAACTGCACTATTATTGTTCTGTATTCTGCAGCCATGAAGGCTCCATGAAGGAGTAGTGAGAGAAAAGAAATGAGATTGCCTGAGCTGAAAGAAATAGTTGTGTGAGTCAGGCCATTGAGAGCTTTTATATCTTGATTGCTTTTCTCTGGAAAACTCTGCCAGGTCCAAAATAATCTCYGTAATAGTGTGCATTGCTGATATAAAACAGATAGAAATGCACTGTTTCTTTCCAGCTTGCCTCCACAAACACAGCAAACKCCTTTCAGGATATAACTAGAAACTATTTATCAGTGAAGAAAAGTGCCCGTCTGGGATTCTTCCTATCAGCATGGGAAGCAGAGATAAGTTTTCTAATGAACAATTCAGTAAAACCACTTTGAAACTACTTATTAGCTGTCAGATTTCACCTGCAATAAACCTAGGTAAATTCTCAGCTAGGTTTTAGTTTTTTCTTTTCTTTTTTTTTTTTTTCCTCCCCACGTTCTAAATGGATTTCAGTGGCATCTCTTGGCTCTTGTTGGCAGAAACTGAGATATTTACCATCTGTTCAAATGCTCATTGGCCATAGCAAACAATTCACACTATTCCCCAAGCAATGAGCATGAGGAGGCAACCGATAATCCTCACTGCCTCTTCACACTGCTCAGGTGTAGGCAGTGGACAACACGTTCAGGTGGCAGTTGGTTCCAAAGTGAATCCATGAACAGAGCATCTCCCCAGGGCTCTTACAGCAGAAATGAAATGAGGAAAATATTAATGATCAGAAGATATTTTGCTTTGGCTTAAAAAGTTGTGTGGTATTTAGYTTTGTACACGTGGTGCTGAAGCATATCTTTCTGGAGATGCACAGCACAAAGGAAATAAAGGAGATAACTGTGTGCAAACCAGTTCAGAAACTGTAGGGTCAGGTTAGAGCAGCATTTTATGCTGAGTTTTGAATTTTTTGCCCAGAGACAGGTGCAAGGAAATACCTAATCTCTTACAGGTGTTTAGCTAACCCTGCCCCATGGCAATTATCCCAGTCTTCCTGCTACAGGTGCTGTATATGAAGGGCAGCTGTGGTTTCGGTACTCTCCCAGTAACTGTTTTTTGGACAACCAGTCACAGCTGGTGGATTGGAATCAGGATCTGCCTATAAAGATGCCCATGCTGCTAGGACCTGTATTTGCAAGGAAGTGCAAGTGGAGAGTGTAGAAGGTTGCTGCTGGGAGGACTGTGTGTCTCAGTGGTTTCTCCCCTTCAGAAATAACAACTGCAGCMAACATCTTTTGTGTAGCAGCATCTGAGAGTAAGTCTCCCTGCCACTTACTGCATATTTGTTTTCTATTTGCAGAGCTTTCCAGCTGGAGACATGTGGGAGCTTTGTCCCCCATAGCATGAATGCATGACAGCTTCYTGCTTTTCCCTGGAGTGCAGTAACACATTCATTTTTAATTGTTGACCACCATATCAGAAATCCTATTTCCTAGAGTTTAATTGTTTTGCATGATGTTTAATTCATGGCTTCCCTACAGAAATCAGCTGTTAACCTTTTTTAAAAAATAATGTATTATTTAGTATTTATTTATTATTTAGCAATAACAGTTTTTAATTGTACAGGACTATATAATTTATTTATATTTTCTCCAAAAAATGCTGTGTCCCAGCGTTCCCTCTACCTGACCTCCCTTTCTTTGCCTTGCAATCATGAAGATAAAAAACAGCTGTATAAATGTTACCATGAAGGTTTCAAGAACAAGTTTCCTATTCAGGATAAGACTGTTAATATGTTTAAGTCCTCCTGTAAGCTTTGTGAAATCAGGACTTAAATGCATATATCTTTTCTTTCATCTTTTATGAATTCTTTCTTCCAAATTCTTGCAAACCAGTTTCCCCCCTAGGAAGGTTCAATGGAATGGCAAACCTCAATCCAATGTTGCAGAGGATTTTTTAGAAAAAAATGAATTCAATATTCAGTATTTTTGCTAGAGTCATGATGTGATGAGTGATATTCATCCGGTCAGGAGCCTGTGCTGTCCCCAATGTCTTTCTGAATTTCGCACACAGCCAAGTGCTCTTGGAAAAGGTCCAGGACAATGATTATTGGATAGCAGGGAGCTGCAAATAAGTGTTAAGGGATGAGGAAGCACAGCTCTTGCACAGGCAACATCCCCCCTTCTGGATGATCATAATTCCCTCTCTGATTTAGCTTCCGTGACAAAATTTATTTTTCTCTTTCCAGCTACTAAACATGAAGATCAAGAAGGAAGGACTGGCTGCAGGGAGACCCTCTGTAGTATGTATCAGGTACGAATCCTCCTTCTAAATCTAGAAGTCTAAACAGTTTATAGTGAAGAAATTACAGATACTGTAAGCATGAATTTTTTTTTAAAGACTAAAGCTTTTCACAAAGTATGTGGCTCAAACTAARTTTTCATCAAATCCTGAGGGAGCTTAGCAGCACTTCTTCCCTTACATTTTAATATAAACCTTGACAGTGTTGAAGACTGGCTGACCAAACAATTACAGGAAAAAATCAATTCATTAGGAGACAGAGAAGAAAACAYTTGGTTATCCCTAAGAGATGTGATACCTGAGACAGCTGCTGCTCTTTCATGAACTACTATAAAGCATTTTTTCACTACTTTTCTCTAGAAGATTTTTCAATCAAAATATATATTAAAATCCTTTCCTCCCTCATGTCCTCTTTTTCTCTTCCTCTCACTTCCTCCTTTTATCTCTTCTACCATAGTGCAAGTTCTACCACAAAAGGAGGAAAAAAAAAAAAAAGTACAAATGATTCTCGTTTTGACCAAATATTRCCATAAGTAATTATGGTTCACTCTAGTCTTACTTCAGATGCAATGATKTTACGAATGAATTGACCAAAGATCATAATGCCTCACTGCTAACTGAGAGCTAATCCTTGAAGTTTAGTGCTATTGCACTGAACATATTTCAGTTGGATCTCAAACCAAGACACACAGAAGAATTCATACTACTCAGGGCACTAGATTTCTTGTCAAGGAGGAGTCTCAGGATTCCTTTGCTCTGGGGAAATTTGAATGAGGAAGCATTCAGTTTGGACACTTGCCTATTCTACTTGGAAGAAGTTTTTTCTTTTTTTAATAGTTTGAGGAAAGTAGACAGTCTGAAGACTCTGTAAAGAAGGAAAAATCATGGTCTCTCTCTCTCTCTCTCTCTCTCTCTCTCTCTCTCTCTCTCTCTCTCTCTCTCTCTCTGAGGCTAATATCCTGTGATGTTGGGGGTTGTTCCATCACAGGTTGTTAGTGCCATTTTCTTAAAGTCATGGAGTTGCCTATATGGAAATTAGGTTGGGGCAAGACCCAAAGTACTGAATTTGCCATAAGTAGAATCCACTGCTGCCATTTTCAAAGACCAAGACCATCTCTGAGCTCAGCTAAGCTTCATGTTTTCCTGGCTTTGTGAGGAAGTAATCTGGAAAGCATTCCTTTGACTCGAGCATTGCAGCCAAATCTAAATCCTTGAATGAGATTTCCAAACTAGCATAAACTGAAGCATGGCCAAACATCTGCTGTTTGGTATGTCTGAGAGTTATCTCTTGCCCCCCAGATTCCTTGGTGCCATATGCAGATTTGTGTTCTATTCCCTGGATTACTTTTCTTCTCCTCTCTACCACATTTTTCTGATTATGGAGCAGAATCTTTGTCAGGTCTGTCTCTTGGAYACTGTAGCAGAAAGGAAAAGAGTTTTTCTTGCTTGAATGGCCCAAATCAGCCCRTATTTTCAGGAGTCCCTTGGTGCCTAGGGGTGCCTGCTTCCTGAAGCTGTGGACCTTTCTTTGTTGGGTGAACTGTGGCAACTGGATTGGGCCACTGCTCTCACCTCCCTCAGTCACTGCTGCTCAGCTTGAACAGCCACTACACGAGGCCCCGAAGGAGCCCACCTCCCCTGTACAGTCCTGAAGTGAGCAGGGTGTCATGATCCTGAAACACCCTAGTAGAGATCTTGGTAGCCTTAGCTGATTTGCCTCCTGATTTCAACGCCTCATTTAGATACAGAGAGGGACCTGAACGGGTTGTAGATGGCTAAGGTAGAAGGGAGAGACTGCAGCAAAGYAGAGACAAGTTCTTCTTGTCCAGAGAAGTAACACAGAAAGAAAAAGGACCAGTASTACAGCCCCAGTGCAGCAGCCCAGCTGAGGAGCTCTTAGGATTGAACATAAAGTTATTCTGCAGACCTGAAGATGCTGTTTGTTTTGCTTTAAAAATGGGAGGAATAATTTCATTTAGCAAATAATTTTGCCAAAGACATCAGTATTCATTTGAGAAGAATTCACARTTGAAGAAAAGGCAAATATTTACTGCATAAACTCTCTGTGGTTGCAGCTCTTTCTCCTGCTTGAGTCTATTCTGGATATATCAAGCCAGGATATACCTCCAACACCCACCGACTGAATGAACTGTCCKTATAGTTATTCACTTATTAAATGATTGTATGCGTTTGTACTCAGACTATTACAAATCCATTACTTCCTAGAGGCCAGAGCAAATGCTTTTAAAATGTGAGGCTTCAGGGAATTGAGAAAGAGCAATACTGTAGCAGTGTACTTGGCTTGCATGGATCAATGTAGTGCAATAACCAGGWTGATAAACCAAGCTTAAAAGCCTACAAACATGATTGGATGAAAGCTTAACATGGCACTGAGTAATTATCCCTACAAAAGTGTCCTAAAGCACCTTAAGAAAAACAAAACAACCAACCTGGCAGTAAATCGTAAAGAGGAATGATGGTRTTTGCATTTGGAACCACATTCTGTGCAATATAACTGCACTGTAGTGAAATTTTTTTTTAATTTGTCGGTAGTTTTGTTTCTCTGTCAAGGGGACAAAGTATTCCAAAAATGACAATCTCTACTCTGGAAAGGAACAAGAGATAAAAAAAAAATTTAAAAGCAATCTTTTAATGAACTATTGAGACTCAAAAATAATGATTTACCTACAGTTCAGGGCAATGAGTTAATACTTTATTCCAAYGCTGGCAAGCATACTCTAGAGAATAGTGAGTCTTCCTGGTTTTTCCATTAATTTATGTTAAAACAAAAATAACTACTTATGAAGACAAATGTTTCCTCTTCTGAAGCACTGAGCCATTTATAGGAATAATTTCTGGGGGTTGGGGGAGGAGTAGGAAGGGAGTTTATATCACAGACTTCTGTCATTATCCAGTTTGAACAGATGGAAGCTCAGCCACTTGTGATTAAATCAGTAGAATGAAGATGGACATCACGGAAATGGTGGTCAGTCACAATTCTAAGTGAAGGAAATTAGAAGTGATTAGCAATGGACATGGCTTTCTCAAAAGTTAAAATAAAAAAATCAACCTTTTCCAGTAGCTTCAATCATTGCAAAATGTATTCTCACATCACGTGCATTTGTGGTCATGGAGCTGTGATTCTCCATTTCCATTTGGGATGCATTCAGGACTCCCTCATCACCTAAACTGCCACCACAGGTCAAGTATACACAAAGTCCTTTTTTAATTCTACAACTACCTAACCTAGAGATTTACCACATGAGGGCTTGCAAGCAGAGGTGCCCTACACAGCCCTAATGTGTGAGACCTTCAGCAGGAAGATGCTCAGCAGATGCCATGTGTCAGTTGTTGAAAGGGCAGCAAATGCATGAATCCACTTGAGGTACAGAAATGCTGGGTTCAAATCCCTGTCTTGGCTTGGAATTTGAAACACAATTTGAGAAGTTTCCAGCTGTGATGGCTATTAATTAATGTCAGTTCAGGTCCTTTCTGAGAAAGTGGACTGTGCCTTTACTGTCCCAGGTAGTTCAACAATGCAGCTACGTTGAAAAGCATAAAAACATATTTTTTTAAAAAAACCCAAACACTAAATCGGTCAAATCAGTAAGATATCATCCACTCAACAGATCTTCAATCAGCTTTTCAGCACTCCATTTCTAATTAATTGCCRTCTGGTGCAGCCCCTCTTTCCCCCAAGCAAGGGGGAATACTCTCTCTGGAGCAGGCGCACAGCGGTGCAGCTCCTGTGCTAACCGTTTCTGACTGCCAGTCCGAGGAGCCTGATTGTTTGAGGCAATCCTCCTCCCCGGGGACTGCATGATTTATTCCCTGCATTTGGGCTGCAAGATTTTTTGTAGGGGAAAAAAATGCTTCCGTGTCATTTATAATGGATCTCACTCCAATAAACTGCCATCTTCTTGCATAATACAAYTGCAGCTTATCAAATAATAAAACCCTGTTGTTCTAGGTTGTTGAGAGAGTGAGACCAAGCCAGCCAACGTTGGGTCMTGTGTCCACTTTGTCACGCAATGAATTTTTCAGCGGTCTCTATGCATGGAGAAGGCACAACTGTCAGCACGGAAAAGCCTTAGTGTGCCACCAGGGAGCCGCAGAGACAAGTGGGTGTGATTACAGAGATTCTCATCCTTAATATGTTATCCAGTTTTAAGTTCTGCCTAAYGTTCATTAGGGACATTTCAGAATGCCATATGGCCTAACGAACGTAATATGTCGTTCAGCGTGTTGACAGAATGACTCCCTGTTCGTTCCGTCTCCCATCCCACCCTGTGCCTGATGGAGAGGAGAGTGAGGAGGCTGGTTTTACCATGCTGAAGAGATGACAGATTTGATAGCTTTAGTATGGAGCATTTCCAGAGCTTAACAATGAATGGCATAAGCATTTTAAGGGGATAAAAAAATAGGTACAGATTTTTAAACACATCAGCAGGTTGCAGAATGTGCTGATTATCCATTTGTATATTTGACTCAGGGCATTAGGGACTTGGGAAATCTCAGTTTAACTTCTATTCCTGCAATATTCTTCCTCTGTGACCTTGGGCAAGTCATTTAATCTCTCTGTGCCTTGGTTTCCCACACATTCTCCCTGAGATTGGAAGGAGATCTTGGCACAAATGTGTTTATACATAGAGGACATGATCATGCTTAGAGCTTTTGAGATTATTTCATGGTAGTGTGAAATCCTGGGCTTTTTATGGTTGCTGATATTTCCATATTTGATTTCCTTATTTGTTACTCTCTGTTTCTCTGTTCCTTTGACAATTACTAAGTAAGGAAGACTGGTGTTAGAAGTGCGGAAACATTCAGATAATGTTAAAAAAAAAAAACCACATTCTAAAATCTGGATATTTTTTCTGATGCCGAATGTAATGGCAGCAGGTAATCCAATGCTTCAGAGGGACACCAGGACCTTGTCTGTCCTAGGGGCTGTCTTTCTCCCACAACAAGGTTTGCCCTGCACAGATTTTAGCCTGGGTGCAAGCTGCACTTGAGCAGTGGAGAAGCCACTCGAAGGTGAATCTCTGTCCTTGACAATGAGTTTCTTTCTGTGACACAAGGTGATGAAGTGCCAAGAAAAATATTTTCCTGTGATATTCTGGAAAATACAACTTTCAGATTCAATGGCAAATTTGAGGAATTGCTTTCCTGTCCATTTAATTCTTTCTGCCATCCTTTTCAGAATAGTCCAAGAAAGGCTGCAAGAGAGTTTCAGGTGATTTTTGCTCTGCTGGAAACAGCRTGTTCATCTCTAATATCAAGCACACATCTTAAATGTATACTCTCCACAGCCTCCAAGTGCCAGCAGGAATACTCTTACACTGCTGCATTTCCTCAGCAGACGAGTAAATCTGAGCAAGCAGCTTATTTGAAACAGAGCCCATAGAAAAGAATAAAAATGACATCAGCAACAGTAAACTACTGTTGCAAATAACAGCAACGTAGTCTTAAAGCAAAGGTTGGCTGTGTCTATATAGAGGCAATACTTAGTGTCGGCGTGATGTACAAGGCAGCTTATCTCTTTGAGAGCAGGAGACTATAAAAATACAATTGCCAGAACGAAAGAAAATTGGAGCTGATTGCCATAGCAACAAAAGAATTACATTGATGAAACAGAAGCACATAAAATCCTTGTATGCTACATTAAGGACAAAGCAATCAAAAGTAAACAAGGGAGGATTGGAATTCGCTCGGCTTCAGCTGGAAATGGGCAAATGCATCCAGCTGAGGGAGGAAGAAATTAGCCCACAGGAACTAAAGGGACAAAGTGAGGAACTTAGTTCTCATTTATTCCTGATGCAGGATCTAAAGGACTTGGGACTGTGAGTGTAGGAACTTTCCTCTCTTTGGATGGGAGTGGTGGAACGGTCAGATGGCTTGTGACCCTGAGCACTTTTGATCCCAGTTTTTTGTGCAGATCTCAGGGACTTTTTCACCCAGTTCTTCGCCCTGCTGGTTTTCCCCCTTGCAAGCGTGTGAGTTATAACAAGTTCCAACTATGAGAAGAATTTTTTTTCCCCCAGTTGCATCTCTTGAACAGACACCTGGTTCGGACAGGACTTGGCTGCAAAACAGCATATCCTTTTCTCCATGGTAATGCAATTTTGCCCTTTCAGGTTTGTGCAGCAAAACAAGTTTGCAGCCATTGCAGCACAGTCTTCCATAAAGAAAGGGTGAAATCACATCTTCAGAACTCTACAGCCATCCAGGCAGTTTCCCAACGTGAAAGGCTTGATAGTGGAGATGAGATCTGGACATCAGCACCTCACACAGCAGCAAAACTCAAGTGGCAGGTGCAGGGCAGCAGTGCACTTCCCTGTCCAGCTCCATGCTCCTTTTTGAGCATGGATTATTACTCACCTACAGGCTACTTTCATGTTGCTTAATTATTCCCACAGGCAGTTGGTTGGATGGAGTTTGCCTATGGAACCTGGASTGTAAAACTCAGTTATTGCCATAGAATTATCCTGGAGAAAGAGGGTGCTGCCTTTTGTTCCCCTGTGTAGATGATGTGAAGAAACAGCCATTCTGGTCCTTTGGAGCTGCCTGTTATCCATGTCACGTCCTTCTGGAATGAGCATCTGTTCTCTATGGCCTGGTCTGGAAGGATAAAAAATAACACGTGGAATAAAAGATCTTTCTTTTAATTAAAGCTGAATGCAGCTTTAATTATCATAACAAAGCCTTGAAATCAGTCCAAAYGTTGTAGTTAAGAACAATGGAAGTGTTCCAAGTGATGGGCTGACATGTCCTTAAGATATAGGAACATTTAATCTATTAGATCTTAGACTGCAGTAATGACCAGACCTTTACAAAGCTACCAAGAAAAATTCCTAAGACTAAAATAAAGTTGACAGTTCCTTTAATTAAACTCATCTTCCTTTCAAAGGAAGTGACAAAAAGAGTTAAGGAAGATTAATTAAGACTTAAAGACACTAAAATGACTTGAGGCATATTTAAGTAAGACTTGAATTAGTCTTTCATTTGGACATGGTAGATTCCATTAACAATAATGAAACCGAGATAGCTAGATCTTAAAGCCTTTGCTCTAAGCTCTGCTCAGAGGCTGCTTCCCAAGTCCTACCCATCTCCTAYCCATACTAGTTGACCTATATTAGGACAATTCTCTCTCTCTTTATTTTTTATATATTTTTGCCATCCTTTTTTTTTTCTTTTTTTCCCCTCTCTTYCTGCTCCACTTTAACAAAGTTCTTAGTCCCATTTGGGTCTGCATGCTTCCTTATATGAGGACATATTCTCTATTGCAGGAGCCTAAATACAAGAATATTTTCATCCTCTGAGTTGAGCACTATTTTGGCTTTTATGAAACACTGGCTCTAACCGAGATCTTGCTCTCCATCTGGTAAACTAAAGATGTGCATGCAGCTCCTGGCTCTACAGACTCTCTGTAAACCTGGAGCTTAGTAGATAATTGCATTGTGCAGCAGCTTGAGCTTGGGGATGGTCCTAAACTACGAGGAGGAAAACACAGATAACATTTCTCCTGGTTTGCACTGAAGTTAAGGTTTGTAACATCTTGCCATGCGCAGATGGGCATGAAAGTCATACTGGTCACCATGGTAATAGGATCACCAAAAAACAACCCTTGAATTTTTAATTCTGGATAATGAATAGCAGGGACAGAAAGTGTCTGGGCACAGAGAGAGAAAGAAAGATGAAGTAATCCGTGAGGAAAAGTGAAGCTATATCTACCGAGCACAGGAAGGCTCTCAAGTACCTCTTTACCATAACGACYGAGAAATGAATCCTAGAAGATTCCTAGCAAAGCTGTGTTGGAGGACAATGTCAGGAGCTTGCCCCTATCCATCTTGGGAGCACTCCTGCATGTGGCAGTGTGGCTGCCGTGCAGGTTCCCTGCCTTTTCCAGACTGTCTCTGCCCTCCAAATGGTCTCCAGGTCTCCAAATGTCATTGCCATCCTCACCACTGCAATTCCTTTTTCCCTAATCGCTGTCTTAAATCTGCCTTGCTACATCATCATTTATAGTCCTACGTAGCGTGGATATGGCAAGAGGATTGTTCCCTGCCTTTTTAAAGCACAAATACTGTTTTGACATGTCTCTCTGTCTTCTTAAGGCTTATAACCCACTCAGTCTTCCTTCAGCGTCGCATCACTCAGACCTTTCATCATTCCTGTTGTTCTTGTTTCTTCTCCTTTACTCACAAGAAATGTTCCATCCTTGCCAGGATTACCCGTGCAATAAAAGGGCTTCTCAGCTGTTTGTCTCTATATGTTCTATCTCCTGGCTCAAACAGTTTTTTCTCTAATCTCAAGCAAGTCAGACTGTAAAGAAAAGGGGGTGTGCAGAGAATTAACTTCTATTCTGTTTTGTTGGGGTTGTAAATTGGATCCATCCATTTCTTTAAGCAGKAAAACAAACAAAATGCCAATACTCTGGGGAGTGCACACAGCAAAGTATGCAACGAGAAAATTTGTAAAGCTAGTTTCTCTCTGTGGGTGGCTAAATAGCTGTTTAGAGCCATTTAGCATCATACACTGTTGAAGGAATAGAATAATGGAAAAAAAAAAAAAAAAAAAGAAAAAAAGGCAAGCTGCATCTTTCAATTAAAGAAACCCTTTGTTTTGTTCAAATTTACTGGATTTTGGATTTCAGATTGCAGAGTTAAGCCTATTTATGGAGAGGAAAAGAGGTTCACTGCGACCTGTAACTGCATTAACATGCACTTGCAAATGCACATTCAAGGCAATGCTGCTTGTCCATTGAATTGGCACTCCTGTTAGCCAGAACCCAAACATCCATGTCCATGTTTGTCCATGGAAAAGGACACAAATGGGTGCTAATTCCATGTTTAATATTTAGAGGTATTAGCAGGCATGGCAGCCAGGATGGGGAGGGAAAGACAATGGAAAATCAGTTCATGAAATAAAGTCCTCTGTGTACAGCAAGTGGAGGGAGGTTGCATTTATCTCTGCTGCTTCTGTTCAGGTACTGGAGCTCTTTTTAGTCT